CCCGCATTATCTCTTCTCCGCAACCCCAACAGTTGGGAATTATAATTGAACAAACAGTTTCTATTGATGGATTTCTAAACATTCGTTCAGGCTGTTGTCCATGCGTGAAGAAGCTTTCTGGTTAAATTGATCCCTGTCGTCAGATTCAAAGCGATTGGATGAAAAGCGAATTTGAGCGGAAGAGAGTGCGCCGAGGCTGACTGCATTCGTCTTTGGACAGCATTGGCCACCATGAGAAATTGATATCTAGAGCATGTCTCAATTTTAGAATACTAAACAACACGCCTTGAAAATCCAAGATGGCCCCCTCTAACTTGGAAGAGACTCTTCATTACACGTCACCTGCAAAGGATTGGTCGGAAAGTTTGCCCATTGGCAACGGCCGATTGGGTGCAATGGTTTATGGTGGCACGTCAAGGGAAACGCTTCAATTGAATGAGAACTCAATTTGGTATGGGGGTCCCCAAGATCGTACACCGAAAGACGCGTTCAGTAACCTAGACCATCTGCGACATTTTATCCGGATAGGCGACCATGCAGAAGCGGAAAAATTGGCTGAGCAGGCATTCTTTGCCACTCCTCACAGTCAACGCCATTATGAACCACTCGGAACTCTAACCTTGGATCTTGGACACGACCCAGCAAAAGTAAGCAACTATTGGAGGGGACTGGAACTGTCAACAGCGAATGTGACCACGGAGTATGAGCATCTTGGAGTTAGATACAAACGCACAGTCTTCGCTAGTTATCCTGACGATGTATTGGTCGTGCAATTGGAATCGTCCGAGAAAGCGGAGTTCACCATCCGATTATCAAGATATAGCGATCGGGAATTTGCTACTGATGAGTTCGTTGACTCCATTGAAGCGCAAGATGGGACTATAGTGATGCACGGGACACCAGGTGGACGAAACAGCAACAATTTTTGTTGCGTTGTCAGTGTTCAGGACTTAGCTGGCGATGGTAACGTTGAGACTGTGGGGAATTGTGTTATTGTAAACTCCTCAAAGGCTTTAATCATTGTTTCCGCACAGACAACATTTCGCCATGCAGATTTGGAAGCTAAAACCCTGATCCAAGCAAGGAAGGCGCTCTGTAGCCATGCTGATCTTTTCAAAAGACATGTCCAGGATTACAATTCACTGTATGGGCGATTCAAACTTCGACTCTTCCCCGGTGCTGCTCACATACCCACAAATGAGAGGCTACTTATCACTCCAGATCCTGGTTTGGTAGCTTTGTATGCCAACTATGGTCGCTATCTTCTTATATCTTGTAGTCGACCAGGAGATAAAGCTCTTCCTGCGACTTTGCAAGGGCTCTGGAATCCATCTTTCCAGCCTGCATGGGGCTGTAAATACACGATTAACATCAATACACAGATGAATTATTGGCCAGCTAATGTCTGCAATCTGGAAGAATGTGAAGATCCATTATTTGATCTGCTTGAACGGATGGCGCATCGTGGGGAGAAAACCGCTAGAGTTATGTACGGGTGTCGTGGTTGGACATCCCATAGCTGTACAGACATCTGGGCTGATACAGATCCTCAGGATCGTTGGATGCCAGGCACACGTGAGTTGACTTCAATTCTTAGTGTCGATGATCTACTTAACTAAGGCGATCTTAGTGTGGCCCATGAGTGGTGCCTGGCTTTGTACTCATATTTGGCAGAGACAATTGTTTGGAGGCAATCATAATCTAAGATTCCTCCAAAGAATGTTTCCTGTACTGCGTGGAAGTGTTCAATTCATCTTGGATTTTCTTATCAAAGATTCAACAGGAGAATATCTAATAACTAGTCCGTCTTTGTCCCCGGAAAACTCTTACATCGACCTTAAAGGTCAAAAGGGTGTTTTGTGTGAGGGGTCTGCTATCGATATACAGATCATCAAATCTCTCTTCGAGGCATTCCTATTATCTGTAGATTCGCTGCAGATAAAGGATGAACTGACTGAAGCTTTGAGATCAGCTCGAAGCAAACTACCGCCTTCAAAAATCGGCGAATTTGGACAACTACAAGAGTGGCTTCAAGACTTCAAAGAACATGAGCCGGGCCACCGTCACACATCGCATCTTTGGTCTCTTTATCCAGGTGACTCGATTCACCCCTTAGAGACACCAGATTTTGCTTCTGCTGCTGAGGTTACGCTGCGTCGTCGAGCTGAGAATGGTGGAGGTCATACAGGATGGAGTCGAGCCTGGCTCATCTGTCTTCATGCCAGGTTACATGATGCGGATGGCTCTTTGGGGCATATCTTTAGATTGTTGGAAGACAGTACATTACCCAACTTGCTAGATGTACACCCCCCCTTCCAGATTGATGGAAATTTTGGCGGATGCGCTGGTATTGTTGAAATGCTAATACAGTCACATCAAATTGATACCATTCAAGTCTTGCCAGCCTGCCCTAAAGAGTGGAGATCAGGGGAGTTGAGTGGTGTTAAGGCAAGAACTGGATTTGAACTTGATATTGCTTGGGACGAAGGCGTATTAACGAAGGTCCTGGTACACTCGCGACTTGGTCGTATGACGAAGGTTGTACTCCCGGACAAGACTGTGATTATAAATGGCATTGGAGACCACTGCCTAGTTTGATGCGGAATTCTATATACATTTATATATACACTAAATTCTTATACCATATCCAATTCTTATTTTCCTTCAATCATATGCGTAAAGAGGTCCTTGATAACAGTTGCAGACTTCTTTGGGTATCGTTTCTTTTCTTTTGACTCAAAATCTACAAAGGTTACTCCAAATCTATCAGTAAATCCGGCAGCCCACTCTATATTTCTAGTCAGTCACTTGTAGTATTTAGAATTTGCGAGCTCTTACCCCAGTTGTCCGTAAAGGTCCATGCAAAGTAAGATCTGATGTCTACTCCATCTTCTTTCACAGCTCTAGCTAGTGCACTAATATATCCCTCAAAAAATTCAATTCGGAACTTGTCATTCAAAACTTCAGCAGTCGGTGCTGTTTCACCTTTTGCAGTAGTCCCATTCTCGGTAATGAAGATGGGAACGCCATATCGAGCCCAGATCCAATTCAACAGCTTTCGGAATCCATTCGGACATGTTCTCAACCAATAAGTATCACTCTCAGGTCCTCTCACCACTCCTTTGGAATTAGTATCCAGCTTATCGATGTTTCCCGAATGATCATTTATATCCGCCGGACCGTCTCGATGTTTCACAAAGAAGGTTGTATAACTATTCATTCCATAGAAGTCCGAACTGCCCAAAACCAATTTTGACTCCTCTTCCGTGAAATTTGGCAATCGATCCCCAAGTTGCGCACGCATAGTCGCCGGATAATCACCCGTCTTATATACCGGATCTGCAAACCACGCAATCTCAAATTCTCTCGCTCTTTCTGCGGCTTCCACGTCCAACGGATCCTCCTCGTCCCATGGTTCCGAGTAATTTCCATGTAAAGTGATCATGATAGTTCCACCTTGCCTTTCCTTGAATTCATCCCGATACATCTTCACCACATGAGCATGACTTACCAATTCCGTGTGGCCAACGGTAAATGGCTCGGTGCTCGAATCTCCCTCCTCATTTAACTCTCGATTTGATGACCTTCCAGGCGCATGTACACCAGCTGCATATCCCGCTAATGTGTAAACACCCGGCTCATTATAGGTAATCCAATTCTTAACCCTATCACCTAACGCTTCAAAACAGACCCTCGCATACCTCACAAAATCAGGAGTGTATTTCTCCTTATTCAACATACCACCATATCTGTCCTCCAATGCTTGAGGGATGTCCCAGTGAAATAGAGTCACAAAAGGTGTAATTCCATTTTTCAGTAATTCATCCACAAGCTCGCTGTAATATTTCAATCCCTTTTCATTGACTGGATCATCCTTTCCTCCTAGAGGTATGATTCGCGACCACGAAAGCGAAAAACGATATCCAGTCACACCGTAAGATTTCATGAGGGTGACATCCTCGGCAGTTTTGTAGTAGGAGAGAACAGCATCGTCGCAGGTACTGGAATCTTTTACTTTTCCAGGTGTGTGGCCAAACTTGTCCCAGATGGAAATTCCTTTGCCGTCGACATCCCACGCACCTTCCACCTGCGGCGCAGCGGTTGCGTAACCGAAGTGAAAGTCGGGACGTAAGACGTCTTTGAGATCTTTGAGATTTTCTGGGACTGACATTGTGAGCGGCAAGGTATCGGGATTTCTACTTTAGATGGTTTCGTAGATGGCTTGCTTGAACAGCTTTGAGTTATGTTATCTGGATTTTTTGCATCACGTTACAACGATTACTATCCAACAGCCATTCTGATCATTCACCCCCCACCTTCCTCTAATCGACTTCTATTATCAGCCTCTTCTCGTCTCACCCGCGCGCTCCACAACGAAGGCGGGGTAGTCCTACCCCCCACACCATTTTATTGGTGGAAGTTCATACACAAGGATTAGTACAGGCTAAATTGATATAGTCCCGATTACAATTTATCATTTCTTTATTTGGTTAAGATGGTTCTGGGATACGTTATTAGGGTAAGGAGCGGCTTGTTTATGCATTTGTGAGCTGTTTCTTTTTTAGAGGTAGAAATTTTTGTCAAGTTCTCGGTGCCGAAGTATCTTGTTGATTTGTGCGACGCTTGAGATACTTTACTTTGGTTTCGTTTACTAGGGAATTCGGCAATCCACTCATAGAAGGCTTGAAAGATAGAGATGGTGAGTGATTTCTAGGATAGAGGAGAAAGGTCACATGATGAGCGTATTCTCATAGACAATGCAGGCACCTTATGACCAGTTTATCCTGTTTGGTTGGTCGCATGAAGATGCTTCGGCTATGATTTTTAATACTTATATGTTATAACAGGTGATAGTATCACTCAGTGCTCAAATGAACCCAATGGTTTCTCATTTGCATCTGCAATTCAAAATGGTATGATTTGAAGTCTTTCTTGTTGGCTAGATCTTGGTTATACGATGAAAGGTCCATTTACAATATTCATTCTAGAAGCGCTTTCTAATGTTCTCAACTCATTCAGCATATGCCAGAAAACTCGACGTCATAAACAGAGGCTTTAGGTACATTCTCAAGCATTTCACCAATATAGAGATTTAAAACATCTACTAATACACCTCGGCAGTGGCTATACAACCAACCATGCACTCGAAATACTCCCTCAATTCTTTCCTTCCCCTTCTCAAGCCAAAGTTCGTTTCCTGGTATGTTTCACTCTTATCTTTGACAGCCACATCCACAAAAAACAGCTAACATAGTTCAGCTGATCTTTTTCGGCGCCAATGATCTCAACCGAGGCCCCTCTACAAAGCAATTTGTGCCTCTTCCGCAATTTGTTATCAATCTCAAAACCATCATCTCCCACCCTCTCATTCAAGCTCACTCTCCAAATATCATTCTTGTGACGCCGGGACCTGTTGACGAGGCAACATCCAGAATAATGAACATTGAGTGGGCAAATTCGGATGAACCTAGACGGGTTAGCTGGACAAGAGAATATAGGGATGCGGTCAAACAGGTTGGAGAGGAAGAGGGCCTGGGTGTTGTTGATATTTGGAGTGCATTTATGGGGGCATGTGGGTAAGTCAAGGGCCGGATGATCTTCCTCGTAAATTCTAGAAGTATGCAAAATTAGGGGGAACAAGAGGCTGTGAGCTAACGTAGATATCTTAACAGGTGGAAAGAAGGAGATGAATTTGCCGAGATGCCAGGTCTAGAAGAAAATGGCAAAGACAAAAAGCTTACGAAACTGCTGTACGATGGTAACTAACTCACCAACACCCACAATCAAATTATCAAAGTAATATTCGGGTGGACTGACTGATGTTACAGGTCTACATTTTAGCGGCGAGGGCTATAAGATTCTTTTTGATGAAGTGACGAAGTTGATTACCGAGAAGTATCCAGATCAGACTCCTGAGAACATTAAGAATCCCATTAAGATGCAGTGGGAAATAGATATAGGCTGGTAGATTATAAAGCTTCGATTTAGGGCAGAACTATTGGAGATATTAGAAAAGAACAGACCAATTTGATTATTCCTAGCGTATTTTTACTGGCCCCCAATTTATTAATGTTATAATCTAGCGAGATTCTCGCCTATCACCATCAGACAATTATAAACTTGTTGCCGCATACAATAAATCAACCAGATCTGTTTGCTCAAGCGAGCTCCTAAAGTCAGTTCCCATTCAGTGTTCGTATGAAGCTGAGCTGACATGTGTCACTTTTTTCAAGCCATGTTGACTCAGCAAATGACACCCGGCGTAACCTCGGCTCAGCCGTATTACTGTTGCAACTCAGCTCAGCATTGAGATGGCTACCTAATCTCAATATATATAAGTCATTCAAGAGGTCTATACAATTACCAAGATCTTTGAAGGTGTGTCTATACTTGAACATGGCTTTGCAAACGCCTTGGCCAATATGCGCAACATGTCAGGCGATTCCTTATACATTATTCCGGAATGGAACAATCAACGACCCTCACCCGTTTTGGCCGAGCTTCTCTGAGTTTGCGAATTCTGCTTCGAGAGGTTGCCATACGTGCACTTTGCTATACGAATCTATCCGAGAGCCTTTCAAACATCGATTGGAAGGTCAACCGATATTTCTAGAACGCGGAACTATTGATGACGGCGGTGGTGCCGAAGCTGTAGCCTTGACAGTGGATCTCGCCTCTCTACCCGATCATAATACCTGGGCAGACGATCTCTTACGGAAGCACGTTGAAGAAAAATCCTCTGGCTTCAAATATGTACCAATTGCTGATGTTAAACATGCCTCGGATGCTGAGGAGGTGCCTAAAAATGCACGAAATTTCAAGGGTAAGATGTTATACGGAATTTAAAATTCGCTGTACTGATTGATAACGCAAGATCTTATCAGCTCATATGAAGAGAGCGAAGGGGCGGCTAGGTATATCAAGCAATCAATGAGTCATTGCTTGGAAAATCACAAGTTAACGTGCGATCGGGTGATGTTTCCAATCTCATCCGCTGCGTCACAGCGACACAATGTAGTCAACATTGTGTCCGGACGCAATGGAATGGTAATGGCGCCAACTCGCCTCATTTACGTGGGTTCTCAAGATGCTGGCGATGTGCCGAAACTTGTGGATGGGCAAGAATGTCTTTATAAAGGTGGGTATCTGATTCTCAGCTACTGCTGGGGAATGACACCTAAAGATGCACCATGGCAACTGAACACTAAAACTATGCCACTCTTTACGACGGAGATCCCACTCAGAATTCTTCCACAGACCCTTCATGATGCGATTATGTTGACTCGCAAGCTGGGAGAGCATTATATCTGGATCGACAGTATGTGTATTCTTCAGGACTCAACAGAGGATTGGCAATTTGAGGCTTCTAATATGGCTTCCATCTATGGAAGTGCTGTTATGACTCTCGTAGCTGCATCTAGTTCAGTATATGGTGGTATGACGGATCGTCGAAACCCATTACGAAATACTGCTGCTAGTCTCGATTTACAACATGATTCTTCAAAATCTACTGTCTATATATTGCCAAATGGACAACCTCGAAACGCTCCACTACCCCCACCAACCGACAGTCGAGGCTGGTGCTATCAGGAAGATTTACTTTCCAGCAGACTAGTAAAGCTGACGCAAAAATCCATAATATGGCAATGTCTAGGCGACAAAAGTACCCCTAACACTCGATCACAGGGTCTTCAACAACTCATCCAGCATCCTCCTTACAGATGGTATACACTTTGGTACCGCTTAATAGAACAATACTCCAACAAAAGCCTAACATACCCAAAAGACAGACTTCTTGCATTCTACGGTATCGCATGCGACAAAGCAGCCGATGCATACCTTGCCGGACTTCTCAAAACTGATCCTTGGGCAAGTTTACTTTGGTGTCGCGATGAAAACCAAATCCAGCGACGGCCGGGCCATAGATACAAAGACTATGTTGCGCCTTCGTGGTCTTGGGCAAGTATTGATGCGCCTGTACTTTTTTATGAGGCAAATGCACGACATTGGAGGAAACCACAACTCGGTACCACGCTCCGAGATCCAGAGCTCATTCATGCGGAGGCACAGCCTATTTCATATTTCAAAACCGGTGCTGTGAAAAGTGGTAGCGTTGAGATATCAGCTTATATTGTCATGGCTCGCACAGCACCTGTCGAACCGTTTTTATTCAATACCAGGCAGGGCTCTCATACATACGGGAGACGAAATTGTGTGGATCCGGTTACCGGTGATGCGCTTGGATTAATTGTTTTTGATGTTGCGCTAGAGGCAAAGGATGATATGTTATTATGCTGTGCGCTTTTGCAGACAGGGAATATGGATTTGTGGGAGAAGAACGGGACGTCTGGGCTTGGCTTGGCATTGAGAGTGAAAGGAGCGACTGCGAAACACTGGCGATGTACTCGAGTGGGATATGTCCAGTTCACATCTGCGTTCGGGCACTATGCGCAAAAGTGTCGTGTGGAAATTTCGTAGACTTCAGACTCGATATGTTAGGGAATGGTGTTTCTTTACAGATTGTGGTCCCGGAGAGCTGAGACACTATGATTTGCAACAATATTTGATCTAAATAGCTTCACTTTGCATTCAACTTACAGAGATCATGGCCGTTCCAGTCCAGCTCCGTCACTATCGCATTAACTCAAACCATGCCCTTTGGCAACGAATACATTCTAAGCGAGGAGGCCGAATGAGGATCGGATGAATATCAAGAACAGCCCAGATGTTAGTGAAACAGTGGTGTAATTCAGCTGGTGATTTGGGATGGAGTGAGCAGGCCCTAATCTTTTTCAGCAGTGCAATTACTTGCAGACTTGAAATAAAATCATCATAAGTGAAAGGAAAAGGAAGTTTAGATAGATGCTGAGGATTCGCGGCTTTAAATAAGAGTCTTAATACTTGGAATGTCCTAAAGGCGAATGATCGTTCGGTCGCCTGGGAACAAATGCCGATGTCCTCAATTTTCTAGCAGACAATGAGAGAAGAGTATTTTGAACTTTATCATTAAGCGTCATTCTATTAGAAGTAATTCCACTCAGTCATCACTTCTTTGATTCATGCATTCCGATATCCCCATATTCAATCCATAATGTACACGCTGTAACTGCCATCTCCCAATGTTCAGATGCCCAGGCCACCTCGATCCGACCTACACGTATTTCTTCATGTAACAAGCCTGCCAAATGCCGCATTACGTATATATCTATAACCATTCAAATGCCTTCTATCAATTTCCCTCCTCCAATCAAGGCACACTAGTCCTCAACTGTACACCGTGCCATCCCTTGATCTCCTCCCCCAGTATCTTATTAACCAATCTCTGTTGTTTCAACATATTCAAACCCCTAAACTTTTCGCTAACAACCTCAATCCCATACATACTTCCACATCCACCACTGATATCCTGCACCTGCAGTTTCGTGGGCGCAAGTTCGTTGTATAATAAACCCCAAATCTTCTTTTCTGCTTCATCTAGATGAGATGGTACCTCGAGTTTATGTGCACCTTCGCCTACGGTACCTTTGATTGTGGATGGAGAGGATTCGCTGCTGTAGAATCTAAGGCGGGCGAAAGATGATGAGGGGCAAGAAGCTGTGCTTCGGGCGAGTGTGCGGGGTGAATTGATTGTGGGAGTAGAGTATGAACGTATACTTTGTGCAGCGCGGGGAGCAGAGCTATGGAGGTTTGAGCATCTTGAGATCGAGGTGTTTCGAAGAATGGTTCTGGTTCGCAGACAACGCAGGCCGGAAAGGACGGGATTTTCCATGGTGTGGAGGGGTTATGGTTGTCTGGATTCAATTGAAGATGCGCGCTGAGTTCAAACGCGTCGATTGAAGGAGTATTTGAATCTTGGATATATCCGAATATTTTGGACTATCAATTGTAAATTATCGGAGTATACAGTAGGATTGTTATTATCGTTGTATGATACTATTGCCATGTTCAAATATTTACGATTATATTTTTCCGAGGTTCATGATTGATCAGCGTCATGGATCTTGATTAGTCATTATAGCCCACATTCATCATGTACCAATAGCAATTCTTGAAATGTAAGCACGTCAAAATATTCGTTTAATTGAACTACATACGATATCCAGACGACTGCAACGCGTTCTCACGCTCACAATCTATCAGAATTCTTTGGCCAATTCGAATTCCGGAAAGTTCTAGGAAGATTAAGCTAGTGCTTTGTCGTTTGATGGTTGGCATGGGCTTGGTGCTTATTTCAACGTATTTCACTGTGTCATCATATGAAAATTTGCGTCTAGTTCGAGTCCGGTTGATCATCTAGCGTTTATCTAGTGAAAACTAATTCCCCCTAAGCCCTTCGCCTCACAGTTAAGTGCGGATATTCACTACACAAGTTTGTTTAGATGAATTTCAGGAAGACCTTCAAATCTACGATTCACAAACAATAATTTTGGAATCCTCTTGCTCGACATGGAGATAGGGGAAGTCTAGACCTTTCATTCCCTCTCTATGGGTAGCAAAAGTTCATCTACATATTTCTATGTTTTCGTATGCTTTTTGTCCGTCCACCTTTATCGTGGAAAAATGGGGCTCTCCAGAGGCAGGGGATTAGGTCTTGCCTGATGTTGGAATAGATAATTCCTGAAACATATCTATCAGCCAAGTAAAATTGAAGGTTCGGATGTGAAAGATTTGAGAGCCAATAGAAAGCTCATGATTTAGCCCCTTGAAATTTTCAATCTGAAGCTTTCAAAGGAAAATTACTTATGGCTTTCATCAATGATCGATGAATTTTATCAAAAGTAAATTTCGTCAAATTCCAAGTAAATCATAAGGTGCTCTTTTTTATCATCTGTTCCTCTATTTTAATACGTTCAAAACTTTAGAGGTATGAATCTCGAAGTAATGTGAATGGTTTTGTTATTCAAATTATGGAACCATAATTCTCTGTGGAAATGAATAATCACTAAACAATTTCCATGGCAAGTGACATTGTCACCGGAGCAACACTTACTAAAGAAGACTCGATTTCGATTTGATCTGAGGATTGAAAAGCCTAGTCATATACCAGACAAATCACCTGATCGTATACCAAGAAAGACCTGCCATCGTAGAGGGGTTATAGGTCAAACTCTATCGAAATCTCATATCAAATGTCGGAGCTGTTGAACCTAGTTTATGACTAGCTTCTATGCATTTCAAGTTCTTGACAAGCTACCTCTTCAGATGCTCGCGTTACAGGATCACTCTATGCCACAATCACCCAATCAAACAAAATGGCAATTGTAAACCTATTCCAGAAGTCATAATTGGTTTGCAGGAAAGTGTAGCCCATGCACATCATTACCTCTTCCTTAGCCAGAGCATTGCATCAATGGCGGCAGATCTTATGGTAGGAAGGCTTGACTTCTCGTAGTATAGAGTTCTGTAAAAGCCAATTCCCCAGATTCTTACACTACGAAATTGATCCACACAACGGCTACTCAATTGAGCAAAAATGATATTGGCATATTTCCCATAAAACTAGCTTACTATCAGGTATTGGTGATCTCAAGGTACGACCACTTTCCCACTGGTCAGATTGCCGCTCAAAACACCCCAGATGTTCTATGGAGAGGACTACTGTTTTCTAAGGCGTGAAAATTATTCTTCAAGTCTTTGCATTATCAAATATTTACATTTTTAGACTCCTCTGGATGAACCTAGGTGGCTAGAGGTAAGTATAGGTAACGTCATTTTCTCGACTGAATTTTAGCCCAAAATTTCCCCGGATTTCCATTTGAACTAGGAAGAGTCTATAAATTCATGATCATTTCCATAAAATTTAATAACTTTTTCGATGCTGTATCAGAACATCATTCCTATATCACAATCTTTCAAGTACCAGTAATTAAAAGCCAAATATCTTGATTGCCATCATTTCTGAAGTCCCTGGATTCAGAACAAACATCCACCATGACGAGCTCGAATAACACATTGCCCGACAACCAATCGATGGACCAAAGACCTGAAAAGCCTTTGGAGGCCATCATCAACAATGCATCGAAGCATTACATGATCAAAATTAACGTAAGTATATCAATCTTGTAGTTACTTTTCCACTGCTTGAATATCAATGTTGATGATCTTTACATAGGCATCTTCTTCTCAATCTGCAAATGCACCTGGTACTTCTCGAGAGCCTTCAATGGCCGGCTCAATTGTTCAAACTGTAGATGCACCTGGTACATCTCAAGAGCCTTCAATGGCCAGCTCAATGTTTCAATTTAGAGCTAATATAAATCCTTCTGAAGGGGGTTATCAACTCCGCGCCGATACCTCTCCTTTTCTTGCTCGAAGGTACTTAGCCCATAGCCCTTTACTTCAAAGTCTTTGGAATCGCGCTGCCACTCGTCCTACTTCTGTCCGAGGGTTCGCAGCCCACCGCTCTTCCATTAAAAGTGTTTGGGATCGCGCTAAAGTGGCCAGCGAGAATTCTGGTGCACACACATCTACCACTACCCTCAACCCTACCATTCAGGCCTTCACTCCTTCCCAAGAGTTCCTTCTTAGAAGATTCCAAGCGGAGGGTGTTGGCGAGGATGACTGTGGTTTTCCATATTGTGAAGGGTTCTGTGAGCTTTATGCCCCCCGCGCTGCCAATGGCGACAATAATGAGGCTGGGCAGCAAGCGAGCTCTTCAGCTGTCCAAGATGAGAGTGAAGCAAACATTTTCCCAAGCCAAGGCATTGAGCGCATGAGTCCAGAGGAGTCTGCTCTAGAGGCTGGTTACGAGGCTGATTGGAGTATTGAAGACGATTTTCTAAATCATGATGCTATTGACTCGGCTTATTCTTTGATGTAAGATGCAAAATACTGTTGGGGTTAAGGCAAGCCATTCCCTTGCAGCCGATCTTGCCGAAGGTAGACAAAGACGACTTGCTTCTGGCTTTTACATCATCCGTAAATTTCGATGGTTCTCTCATTACAGTATGCACTGTGTGTTTCTTCTTCGTGTAATATTGGTGACGGTTGAATGATTCTCTCATTACCGTATATACTATGTATGTTTTTTCTTCATGTAATATTGATGACGGTTGAATGATTTCTCATTACCGTGCATAGTTTTTCATTTATCCGTTTCATGCAGCACCAGTGACGGTTGAATGATTTCTTCATTACCGTATATATTATGTTTGTTCTTCATGTAAATAGGTGACGGTTGAATGATTCTCTCATTACCGTAGATATGTATATATCAGCATTAGTGGTAAATTCACAATTGATTTAGTCCTAAATCTATCTATGCTAATGCTACGCTGACCTATACGTATATATTGTTCTTGTGTGATACGAATTCTAGAATTTGTCACATGCTGAAGTCTCTGTGAAAATTATTATCCTCTTATTTTTCAGGTATCATCAGTATCCCTTTGATGCCTGGTTTAATCCAATAATCTACTCCGGCACTCGCTGACATAGATACTGATGTGTGTGTTCATTTCTTGCGAAAGGTCTTGGTATTTTTCTAAAAGTGAATCTGAGTGAGAAATACATCCAGCGAGCCGTTGGCTGACCTTGCATGTCCCCGTGATATGAATGCAGTGATAAATTTGCATGAGATTAAGGCCGGAACAACATACGGATCGACAGCGGCAGTCTTCAGGCATAATACATAATGACGGGCCCGTCAGATTAAAGGCAGATTTACATCTCGCATAGCTGATGTCTCATTATTAGAACCGAACCGACCAAGTGTTATCGATTTAGCTAAGCAGACTTGAGGCAACAAAGCTTAGGTCAAATTCCTACATAGGAAGGTTCATTGAGGCTTATAAACACGTCAGGGTCAGGGTCTTTCTTGGGATCTACATATATGCAAGTGTTGTATGCCAAAGTCACCTGCCTACTTCAATGCATGCAGGTGAGTCTACTTCCTTCCCGGATGATCGACGGTTTACGACTGGCACTCGTGCTGCCAGAGAGTATGCGACTCCGCCACTAAGAATGTCAGGTTAGTCCTCTTATAGTTTACTATTGTGTGATATGTGCATCTAGCTTCGGAGTTGCATCCTTATTACTTTCTAGCCGCACGAGTATGTGGAGAATCAAGGGACTCTGTGTCTCCTAATATTTTATGTATGCAGGGTGCAATAGCTAGACGCAGTGAATTCATGCTAGCCGATTTGATTCCAGAGGAAGGGGGGGTATTGTAGGCCGCATATCTTGACCTTACTAGATAGTAAGTATGTTTCAAATCTTTATGGAATTATATCAATACCTACACAACTTAGCTTCTTGCTGTAATGCAAAAGTACGACGTGCATATTTTTCATGTAGAATGCATCAAATCGTATCATCTAGACCATCTCATCTCACTATATCAAGTGGGTACTATCACCTTCTAGGCTTCCCAAAACACACTTTTTATTCATTGCAGGTAGCATAAAAATTGACTATTGCTTCCCAATACAACATAACATTGCAGAATTCGTCTAGTCGCATATGTACGACTAGGGTACATATATAGTGGGGCTCGCATAGCATTTCAACATCGTAACCCAACTCCCTTCTCAAACTTGTAAAAGCCCGTAATAGCAAAAATTTTCTTCATTCTCTTGCATTCAAATATTAAATGCGGAGAGACGAATCAAGGGTTTCATATATCACAATAAACACGAGTTTGGTTAGAAATGAATAGATGAACATGTGGGGTCCTACGTGGCTGCACATAGTTCACGCCTGGTTACGTGGCTCACCGAGCACGATCACGCTTCTGCACGTGAGCGAGGGGTGCAGTGCAGATAGGTGGAGATAGAGATACGTGGTACTGTATATTGCTCGTGAAATATTGACAAAGTGGTAGTACCGTAGTTTGGTAATATGTGCGTTGGGGATTTCATCGAGAACAGTGGTTTGGGCATGAAGAACTTTCTTTAAATGCTGGGTGCATATGGATGAAGAATCTGGAGTCTGGAGTTCTGGGGAAGTGAGACTTCCGGGGAATGGGGTTGAGTGATGAGGAGCTGCAAGACTTGAATCTGCAACTAATCTAGATGAGCCACAATTGGCGGGTTGTCAATACACATCTATTGGGATACCAGAACTCCACGCTCAATACCCTGCTATCACTGTACTGTGTTTCGTTGTAAGTTAACAATTTGCGTTGTGTACTTGGTATCGTGACCCAACACTGGTGACATCCAAGACTGAATACTGACTCGAACCATAAGTATCATTCTCATGTTGGAGTAGTACTGCATCTTGCCTATAAGCTTATTGTGTGCCAATTCCCTTATGCCTGTAGAAGTTTTTGTACAGCAGGTAAACCTATAGGATAATTAGCGTAGATGAAAATTTCGTGTCCGGGCAGCAAGGCATATTGAACCAAGAAAAAGAATTTTCGCTACTCCGTAAAGACCAGTAGTTTGAAGTAAAGCTTATTTGGATATAGTGGTGGCGAAAAGGGCAAGAGAGATGATTCCTCCTCTGGTATAGAACTCAACATGAATTCATCCCTATTTAGGACACAAATAATTCACTGAAGATCGATGCCCTCTTCTTACATAGGAAACTATTCCTACTATATTCATTGCCCATCACGATGCATTTGGCGAGAGGGGTGTCTTGGTTGCTATTCCATAGCACTAAATATGTCTATTAGATATACTTTTCCCCATAGACCCTCCTTGCATCCGAGCCAAGACCCCGAATAGAAACCCTATGCAGTCAAATCTTTCAAACCCCTCAATCTCATTCCCACAAAGTCGTCATTCAACCTCGGTACATACCTCGCTTCCATTCATCCATTCCTCTCCACCAATAATACCCAAACAAGGAAGACCTCGAAATCATCACTGAAACTGCGATTCGGGTCCGCTTCCATTCAAGTCCACATCTCTTTTGATCAAAACTGACTGACATCATACAACACTTCCTCCTGCATCCACTCAAAAGAGGATGAGATTGCAAGGGCCATAGACCACAAGTTGATCAAATTGTGGTATGTTCATACTGTACTGATGTAATATATCAACCAATCAGTTCGGTTCCGAAACCCCGATACTCAGCCCCCCCGCCCACCCCCAAAATTCCGGAGTTTGATTATAACGCAATTCCTTCAGTGGAGCCACGGAGAAGGTAGAAAAAGGTTGGCCCCGCGCGGAGTTTCGCTTGATGAATATAAGCAACCCGCGCGGAGATTGATCTGAGATAGTAGGGTAGTATTGATACACATCATAATATTATCGCTTCTAAGACTTAAGAGATTTTGACAAGGCCGGAGCACTTGGGTTCCGGAAAGCTTTTCCAAGGCTCCGTAATGTCTCCGAGAACGTAGCGGAGTGTGAGTAAAAAGTGTTAGGAGATGATATTGTCTCTTGCTAGCACTTCCCTTAGTCTTCTGGGGTATCGAGCTAATTATTGATGATGCTAATAACAAAAGAAACACCTTGCTTCTATGATACATGCACTACATTAAATCAAGACTCGTTTTTTGCTTATCGATCTAAGTACCCAGTAAAAAATTTCGATTCAACTCCTACCATCACGTTCACAAATGAGTTTTACGATACTATCAAGAATGAATAGATACTATAATACTCAAACAGAAACACATGATGAGGTTTCCGAACAAACGGTTTCGTATCACTGGATCTTGAAGTACAATTTGTGGGTAACTTTCTCAACTTTCCACTTTAAGATATAAAAAATTTTCACTCTACAATGCCACTGAACATAAGGATCTTTGTTGCATATTTCAAGGGGAAGATGGAGTCTTACTATTTGATAATTCTTACCCATTTTCGAGTTATTTCTTCTGATTGGCGACTGCAAGGGCTAACATAAAACTATTCGATGGAACAAAACTATATAGGAATTGCATAATGACTCTTTGAACATACAAATCACGACCAACAAGTCGTGTGTTTTCTTTTTTTTTTCTTGCCCTTCACTCTATCTACGAGTAAAATACTGGTCTTATTCCCACCTGAATGAAATAAGTTAGAGAAAATGAAAGAAGTCAATGAGTTCATAGTGAGTATAGAATGAAAACAACAGAATAAGACATTGCGAACATTACTGATAGGATCTGACATATGTTTTGAGCCCGCGAGGAATGTATCATACGAAGTCTACTCACAGAAAGTTCTGTATAACCGAACTGAACATTTCTTTTCGCTTTGTAATGGCTATATACTTAACTCGTAACATACAATTTTTTATCTTGAGACTTTTTGATATTAGGGAGGGCAGTCTTGGGATAAGTGTCTCGACTGACCTTAGTGATTCGGTGAAAAGAAAGAGGAGAAGTAATTAGGATCCTAAGATACGCCCTGTAGTGACGTGTACAGTATATATAGTTATTGGAGTTTCAAATCGATTATCACATCTCTTGATTTACACAATGAAAGTAGATCTACCGAAGCACTTGGTATTCCTTTGGAACATAAAGATCTATCATCTCGAAGCTATTCTCAAGTCGTATAGATCCACACATTGAAAAAGCAGTCCCGACTTGATAGCCAAGACTATAAATTCGAGAGCTTTCACTTTGGCACTCAATCATTAGATTGATTCTCTTCAACTTAAATATTTTGCTTTTCACACAAATATCCAGAGTCGAAATAGTGTGTCGACAACTCGGACGGATATAGGCTTTCGAGATCGACAGCAGTCAGATGTTACATAGAATGGAAGTAAGAAACTCTCAGAGTGGGCATTAAGGAATTCGGAATCAGTTTATTGAATATTCTCAAATATTTGAACGATTTAGGACATAGGAGGGAGGCTATAACGGGGTAGGGTAATCGTTTAGACAAGCGACTCTCGGTAAACAGAGACATCATCATAGAAACTCATTTTATAAGAAGAGTAAATAGATGATGTAAAATTAAATTTCTATAAATCACCAAAAACGAGTACATCATAGGCAAAGGCCATTACGGTAGATCTGTTTCTCATTTCCTATTATCTTATTCCGAGAGCTTCTATGTCCAGATATAGCTGTAGTTGAAATCTTCAATGGTGTACCGATTGACTTTCCGGTATGTTCTATCAGTTGCTATTGCAAAACATGTTATTGAGAGGCAATTTGAAGTCGCCCGATCATCCTACTAAGGAATTATTGATAATTCATCATCGTATACTGCCACTTATTCTCTGATATATGTTGCACTAGCAACTGAAAACATTAATTACACGAAGAAGCCTTCAATTCCGTGTTCATATAGGAGAATAGTTCGTCTCAAAAGCCAATCGACACTTCTCTCCAAACTAAAAATCATTTTCATCCTTCATTCAAATCCACTCTTATCTTAACACCCTTCTCTTATAATATTCGGCCCTTTCCCCAATTCCCATCAAACCTACTCCAGCTTCTGCACTTGCATATATTCGGTCCTTTCCCCGTGATCCTCCATATTCTGCAAGTTTGTGAGCCCAACATTCACCACACCCCGCCGGCTCCGCTCCCACTGTACAATGCCGTATGTCCGTCTTGACATATCCACCCAAATCGGCCCTTTCCCCAACTCACCCACTATTCCGCTTCTCAGTCCTGCAAAAAGATCCGCTCCGCATGGCTATCTCACAAAAGTCAAAATATGACACACGGAAACATACATCCACCTGGGGAAAGAACCAAATCGGTCCTTTCCCCAACACACTCGATCCCCAACCCAATTTCCATGGCGCGTATGCCCAATTATTGAAACCCTCCATACCCACCGGAGTCGGTCCTTTCCCCAATACTTCTGTCATACAAAAGACCGTTTTATCTCCAAACCGACTCAATCCGAGTCCAACCGTGGAGGTTGTACAGCCCGTGCCCATTTCGGGTGGAAACCGGACCATTCCCTAATCACCAATCCCCGATCCGCAATTCCATCTACCGCACACTTCATATTCACATACGGAGCACGCATCAAACCCTCATTCTATCGTCTAGGAAAGAATAGGATTAGGAGTCGAGGACATGCACCATTCAACATTCAAGCCCTAACAGAATTTTCACCCAAAGCTTGTTGTGTCTCGCAAAATTTTCCACGCTATAACCTTATCCCACTTTCGAGCCCTGGAATCTAAGGACTAGACAATGTTGAGTACCTCACATTGCGTGGCTCCCGCTCTCAACCCATTTGCCAAGTAATTTCCAACAATTACAGTTACCGGAAGTTCATCTCTTAGTTCCCAGTCGAACGTACTGGCCGCTTTACGGCGTACGCGCGATAAGTGGTTTGAAAATTGATCGTAGTTTGAAGTCCGAGCGGGGAGCTTCAAAGCTGGTTGAACAGTGCACCGTCGATCTCTCAGCCCGCGAACTTTATTCCAAGCCTTAGCTTAAGTCCATAATAGAAAATCAATAAAACATCCATAGACATCACATTGCGAGCTTAGTGTCGTCGTTAGTGTTACAGCCATAAGAGTTGCATTGAATGAAATTCATTAGCGAATCCAAATAGAGTTTCTGCACGCTCGTAGCTTGCACCCTTTCGTGGCTCACCGAATACCAAACATTCGGTCGGGACCGCCACTTTCCTTTGAAAATCAGCATTTTCAGGGTCCATGTTTTCTTGGTAATCCGATTGTTTCCTTGCGATTGTCTGGGCTGCTCTGTTTGGGAAGTTTTAAGCCACGGCTGTTTCTTTGGTGTCGAGGATTGGTTTACGATTGTTGGTAATTTATTACCTAGTCAACAGTGTAATCTACTTTGACGCAGACGGGTGAACATTAGGAAATCTAGTCGATTTATCTATGCTGGACTCGTTTCAATGACGCCCGAACCCTTAAAGCACAGTTCCATAGCCTAAAAACTTTTTGGAAGGGTCGGCTCGGTCTCAACATCAATATGGTTATGTTGAGTCAACATACTCAATCTGTGGAACAAAATTGACTCGCCAAAACTCTTTTGCGAATGGTGGTTGTATTCGGTGCCCCTAACTAGAGGCGAGGTCACAGCCTACAATCTTTGGTGCAATACACCGCAATTCAAACATCAATGTAACAAAACAAAGCTTTAGGAGATATGTCTTTGTCAGACGGTTCAGGGTCTAATCTGCAAATAGAAAATGTATCCGCCTCCTACATTGTTTGTTCTCTTTGTAAAGCTATAATGAAGATCTTAGTGAAAGTACTACTCTCATGCGCCCCGAGATCTTCAACTCAGCCTCACCAGATCAAAAAATAGATATCAAAAGCTTCTCAGATCGCAATCAATTCTAAACACAGACTTCTCTAGCGTTGAAGATCAGTAATTACTACTCACCGTTGCGTTGATATTTTCAAAGATAAGAAATGTTTCACGGCATTGTTTGACATATTGAATTGACTCTACGGTATCAAAGTTCTATTGCACAACATCCTTGACAGCGAAGTTGTATCACTCATAGTTTTCTCCAAATTCTGCAAAATGCATGTATAAGCTGTGGTGCTAGATTTATCATATATGCAATTTCAAGGTTGCGCTTGTCCACACCGCGAAAATGCCATTTATTTTTGTATCCTGCTTGTTGTTTGGTTATATTCGTAGCGATAAGAGAGTTTCACCACATGCAAAGCGTTTAACCTTCCGTTTTGAAGTTTGTCTGCAGGACTAGAGCGTTTACACCTATTGATATGTAATAGTGATAAATTTGATATCGATTTTTGAGGATATTAAAGGGGACGACATGATATCGGAACATTAGAGCCTGGTTAAAGGACTAAGATGTGGTTGTACGTGTCATACAGCAACGGGGTTACACAAAAGGCGTGATCACAAGATCAGCTTCTTTTCCTGATATGTTTCCATGATGATTGATTGGGGGTAAGAGGTGGGGGAAGGGGTGATGCTGATGGGAAAAGACTCTAGAGTCAAGAAGAGCGAGTTGATGAAGATGGTTTCCCCAGATTATCATATATCCGATTCCTATTATCCAGACTGCAGCAGTGGTAAGTTATCAAGTAAGTGAAGACCCCACCAACCCCCTCTCCCCACCCCCTAATTCAAAGGGAGAAGAGATAGTTTATCAGCCGTGCTTCTCGAATAAGAAAAAATGAAGATATATTGTTTTAGCGTCGTGTAGACTAGTACATAATAAAACATTAATATGGCCCTACTTCCCCATTAGGTCACACAAAGGGGCATCTCCAATGCCCCAGCCGATTACCCTTCGGGGCTGACAATTAAAGGGTCCTCGAAGCTAGTTGCCATATCAAAGAGATTATATGAGCACTCGGGTCCAAACTCAGTACCACGCCTGTGAAAAGTGATAAGAAATTTATACTATACCAATAAGGCCCTGAGAATCATCGGATGGTTTCTTAAGATTTGCTCTCTATTCTCTAGAATTGATAGTGACAGCAGTAGTGGAAGGCAAAACCTTCGTATTTAATGCCCAATGTTATCTCGAGGAAGGTCGATATCCATTATGATTATCAATATATCAGTCCATCAATCACCCCATGCCAATGATTGCCAATTAAAGCCCACAATAATTCGTGCAGATGTGCAGATCCAATCACATGCGACATGACTAGTCACTTGGAAATATGCACGTTTGTTAAAATCACTGGATATAAGCCTGTTCTAGATGCATAGCCAAGTTCCTAGGTATTTGATCTGATGAAACGCCATGATAAGGATTTCAGACACTTTGGTATCGTGACTTCATCAAAGTCACGGTACTCGGGGTACACGAGAACGTGACCTTCATCTCATGACGAGGACTTACATCTTACGATATTCCGGTAAGATTCCTACTGGAATAGGGATTCTCCGTGTCATTCGGATCGGTAGACAGCTGAATTTGCAGATAAACTATGTACCGGTACTTCCGGTACCAAGATGCGGCATGGGAATGGATATATTGTCCGAGATCGTCATATCTCTTCAATGTATATTTAAAGTTTGAACTGGGATGCGATGCCAGGTAAACAGGTCCCTACTTACATACCTTCATGTATCATGTACCATGATGATGTATGTTTATCTCTTGGTCTTTTTGGCAAGATTTGTCAGTCCTGTATGACCCGAGTATGTCACCCCGCATCCTTCAATATGAATTATTATCCTCTACATCCAGCCAGATAGTTCAAGGTTTCAAACTCCTTGATCAGTAGAATTACATCATATCAGCTAGTAAATAAACGAACTTCGAAATCAGACATTAACTCGACTGCACTTTCACGAGTCATGACATTGTATCTGACAGCTGCACATCCATTACTTGGAAGCTACCCCGCATTATCTTGGCACGTCTATTCACGACAGAAGTGAAACAGAGGCTTGAAAATATAAAATCCCAACCAATCAATTTCTCCATCCCGCTATTGTACGACGCAGTGTGAAATGACCAGTCATATCTCATATCTCATCTATATCCACATGTCTTACACCATCAAAAACAAGGAGGGGGTGACATGTGAGAAATAACGTCTTCCAACGCCACCAAGTAGGACGTCTCAAAGGCATTTGAGAAATTCTCCTAATTCTCCTAATCATCACACCATTCTTTTTCTCAAGAGGGGCACACGAAAACGCCCTCTACGCCTCTAACCCAACGAAATGGATACGAAAAGCCCGTGGCAATTGTGTTACATGACCTCTTCGTAATCTGACGGGGGGAACTTCTCGGGCAATATTCGGAATGGTATGTTATAAATGATGTGCATGTGAAAAAAGTGTGGGATGTGGTATACTTCGTATTACAATTTTAAACAATGAGAAAATTTTCTCCTTGGACATGCGATATGTGTTACATGAAAATTATATAATTTTATTGGAATCAGATAGAGATAGAGATAGAGAAAACGAAGGAACCAATAACCTATCAAACGTAACGAACCCCTAAATTTACCGAACACACGGGACGAGACGGGAACATACCAAGCTTTTTTCTCTTCCCTCTCATTTTCAAATTCGGGGTTCGCGAGGTCTAGATCGCCTAAAAACAGTCTCTATCAAGAGGCCCCCGATATAATCCCGAACCCTCTCAACTGACACCTACCTATCAAAAACTCCTTCCAAACGCATCTCTTTCCCAACTGCGCCGTTTTTGCATACATAAGATGCGAACTATTGAGAAGCAATTCTTTGCAATGTGCATGCAGATAGATAGCCCGTTCTATGCAAGCTGCTCAAAAAGAGAAAACGATATATCATATCATCGTACGAGTAATGTAACGGTCAAGACGAATTTAGAATCCGATACCAAGGTATGAAATGGGAGGGAGCGCTTTCGCTCTTCTTGGCTTGTTTTCCGTTTGCCTCTTCGTCGCATTCGTTTGCCTATCGAAATTCCGATATCGTACTTATATCTATAGCATAGCTATCGGGTATTTGCCACTGCATATGCAGATATGTCACGCTATTGGTGTTACACGGCGCGTGATATCCCATTAGTACATGCGAGTTTGAATTTGTTTATAGATGGTTAGTAAGTGGAACGATACAGTGCAAAGTGCATGTCACACAACATGAAGAAGATATTGAGCAGGCAAACTTGCATACAATTCGATGGTTTGGATTAGCATGTACTGGAAGATTCTCAAAAATGTGAAGATATACTCTTCTTGGTATGACACAAACCAAACTTTGGTTAAATATGGATAATGTATAGGTATGACTTGCAGTTAGGTTGTGCATGTCTGTATGCACTGCGATCATGTCAATAGAGTGCATCGAATTTAGCTATGCTTCATAGGATCATCTAAATTGCGCTTTCATCTCTAGAGAAACGTCAGCTTTATCCGGTTGAGCACACCGATTAACCAATACGAGATGAAATCGGAACCGGCAAGTAAAAGGATAGAGTTAACGATATTCTGAAATCTATTCCAAACTCAACCTACAGACCTCATCAATCGCTCCCATATTGACCCATCCATCAAAAAATCGCCTACCTTTCCAATTTTACCCCACGCTCCTAGTATCCCGCGCGCAAACCCACACACAAGAAATTATTCGAACCTCATTTTATTTTATCCTGTTCTGGATCAAGAGGCTGAGCTTTCATATATGTTTCATCACTCATAATTCATTCAATTGTGGATCAAGGCCAAGAATAGGCGCTTGACATCCTTCCAGGAGTAACGTTCTCGAGCCACCAGCAGGCGGCAACACAACCACCCATGAAGAGTGGTAATTTTGTACGAAAAATCCCCGACGCGACTTGTATGCGGCCGTCCTTGGAGTGATTCAATGTTCCGCAGTATTAGGAATGATGGTAAGTAGTACGATGGTACCTGTTGATATGTACAATAGATGAATGGATGTGATGTGATGTACATTGACATGTAATTTCAAGCCGTGCCCAGTTATGGATTGTCGGATCAATCAATAGAGAGGAGGTTTAACATGAGGAGGCAATGTTCTTTATAATATCGCTTTGGATGAGCGCCAATGTCAGAGATTTCCGAATTTATGACTGCTCTTTGAAAATCTATCTACCGTACCTAGATAACGTGACATCGAAGGTCTTCACATCGCTGTTCTATTCCAGGTTGTCTATGGCTCATCCCAAGTGCACATCAAATCTTTACCAAGTTCACGCAGTGCTTCTTCTCCACCGCGCAGAAGCTCAAGATA